GAAGGTGTTTGACTTAGGGGTATCTAGTTAGATTTCTTTCTGCACCCCAGACTAAGAGCTCTTTAGTTGTCTCCTTTACCTGCGGCCGACGTTTGCCTTTGCTCAGTTTTGGGATTCATCCTGTGCTTTGCTCAGTCAATTTGTAGCATCTTTATTCTTGTACAGGTGATACATCAAATTAATAGTAAGACTGAGGAAGTTAAACCAAGCTTTGTAGCATTTCATTCTGTAGTTAAGTGTCAGAGACAGCTTACCTTATCCTTGATTTAAGCTGGTTTTATCTCCCTCTGACCAGGTACCCAGCTCACATTGAAGAAATTGATTATGAAGAGGGGAAAGTCCTTATCCACTTCAAACGCTGGAACCACAGATACGATGAATGGTTTTGTTGGGACAGTCCTTACTTGCGTCCCTTAGAGAAAATACAGCTGAGGAAAGAAGGACTGCATGAGGAAGAAGGTTGTGCAGTAAGTAGAAATCAGGACATCTGAGCGTGTTTAATATGCACTTGTATGAATTATGGCTTTTAAAATGCTTCACTGCTGCCTCACCCACTATGCGAGTTTGATGATTTCTTTTGCATATTGGAAAGCTAATAATTGTAATATTTCAGAGAAATTGTATGTTTCAGTAGTTCTCAGATGAAGATACTTTTTTACCTGCTGTTTTGTAGGGGTTTCATATCAATGATCAGGTGTTGGCATGCTGGTCTGACTGTCGCTTCTACCCAGCCAAAGTCACTTCTGTTAACAAAGATGGTAAGGACTCACTTCTGGGTTTGTCATGCTTGTTAGTAATGTATTTCTAGCTGTGTTGGAACCTCTTTGCTTAGGGCAAGAGATAGTACAGAAGACAGCTGCGAACAGTTGTATTTTCAATTATATGTTGTAGTCTGTCATCAACTTCTTACCCTGTCCATGAGATAAAAACTTTTTGCTGGGATATCAGTCAGTATTTGCTTTAAGGATATATTTGGAAAAAGTTGTTTGTGAAGTTTGTTGTCAAGAAATGCATGTAACTGCAATCAAACCAGTATAAGAGCTGCAGAACACTTCACAAATCAGTGGGGACTGGAATCACAGCTATGTGTCTCCTTTGTGAGTATCAGTAAGGAGCTGTGAAGGACTTGTTCTAGTGCTAGACTTGCTTTAGATTGACTGCCTTGGAAGATCGAGGACAATCACAGAATCATCAAGGTTGGAGGTGAGCTCTGGGATCAAGTTCAACCATTAATCTATCACTGCTGTGATCCCCAAACCACATCCTCCAGCACCAGATCCAGACACCTCTGAAACACCTCCAGGGATGGTGACTCCACCACCTCTCTGGGCAATATTCAAGTGCCTGAACAGCCTAACCAGGAAAACATTTTTACTAACATCTCCTCTGACTCTGCCCTGTCTCAGCTCAAGGCCTCCAGCCCTCTCCGTGCAGCCCTGGCAGGACAGGCATCCCCCACCTCTCTCCAATCCTGTCAGGGAGTTGCAGAGAGCCATGAGGTCACCCCTGAGCCTCTTCTCCAGGCTAACCAACCCCAACTCCCTCAGCCCTTCTCCATGTGCTCTAACCCTTTCCTGCCTTCGCTGCCCTTGGCTGGACTCGCTCCAGTGCCTCAATGGCCTTTGGGCAGTGAGTGCCCAAAAGCTGAGCACAGCACTGAGCTGTGACCTCCCCAGTGCCCAGTCCAGGGGGAAAAAGCTGTGTAATTGTGTGTTGGAACAGTCCTGTAAAAATATTTTGGGGTTTTGTGAGTTAAGAGCATCTCAGGAGCAACTCTTAAGATTAGACATACCAGATTTATTTTGGGGCCCTTTGCTGTGTCTTCCTTAGCTGGCCTGCAATAGGAGCTCTGCCACTGCAGGTTCTAACAGCACAGATAAGGCAGCTTTATCGAGAGCTAAATATGCAGGTGAAGTATTGGAGCTGTTAGTAAATGCTCTGTTAAATAACTTCTGACCTTGAAACTCTTTTTTAAATTTCAGGTACATACACTGTGAAGTTTTATGATGGTGTAGTTCAGACTGTCAAAAACATTCATGTCAAAGCTTTTTCCAAAGATCAGGTAAGTATTGTGTTTCTGCTGCTAGTGTGTTCTGAAATGGACAGTTCAAGTGGCTAGGTTTGAATTATAAAGCATGAAATGAATGAAACCCCTGTGTGGCTAATATAGTCTGTCTGAAATCCAGTCCCTTAAAATGAAAAGGTTAGGCAGATCTTTGTGGTGTGATCTGTGAAGCTCTCAGGTTTGGGTTCTCATAAATGCTCCTCTTGAACTGAAGAGGTCATAGGCATGTAAGTAAAACGTTTCTAAAAAGCATTTGAAAATCCAGAATGTCCATACTGGCTGTAGGTTATGGAAACACTGGTTGTCACCTGTTGGAGATTAGCTTAAATACATACCCCTTCAAAATAAAGGGGTGAAAACCATGGTGTGGACAAACTGTACTTTCACAAAGTAACTGCTTGATTGTCTTGAGACTTCAAGGAGCAGAGCTGGTAATCTTTTACCGGGTGACTTTGAGGAAAGCTTTTTAAACTATTCCTCCCTTTGCTTCTGTGGTGTCACAGTATGTGAAGGGGTTGGAATGGACCTCAGAGATCATCCAGCCCCAACCCCCTGCCCTGGGCAGGGACACCTCCCACCAGAGCAGGTTGCTCAAAGCTTTAACCACCCTGGCCTTGAACATAGTTCCATAGTATATTTGGCCATTTTACCAACCCTTCACCTGCTCAGTGTGGTGGGTTTGACCTTTGCTTGTGATGGAAAGTAGTAGTGAGTCATTATACTAAAAAAATTCAGTTAAAAGTTAACAAAAATTACTTCTGCTGCTGGTGAGAAGGAACAAATGCTGCTTTGCACTTTGGCTTGCATGTGCAGACAACCTGTAGGAAGGCTGCCAAGTTCTAGTCCTGAGTAACTTCTTTAAGTACCTGCTTCAGAACAGCTTTCGTTATGGGAGGGGTTTTGAGATCCTGCCACACATTCCTCTGTGGTAGCTGTAGCCTGTGGGTTTTTGTCATACCGTCTGCTTTTAGTTTTCTGAAACTTTAGGTTTGAGCAAAGAAATTGAATCTGTTCCTCCAGCATAAGTCTTAAATGCAGATTCCAGCAGTGAATCTCAGGGGTGCAATTGCAATCTGTCAGTGTTGTGAAGAGGTTTGCCATTTCCTGGATGTCTCCAGATTTAAGTATCTGCCAGGTGGAGAGGGAAAACTATTTCAGATTTGCCACGAAGTGCCCTTAATGGCTTTTAAATGGTTATGCTTATGGTAAAGGTTGACTAATACTCACAGGGGAACTACCTTCAGAGTCTTCATTGCCATGAGAAATGTTTCTGCCATACTTAGTGTTAAGTAGGTGAAGCTGAACAATCTGAAGAAATATTCTGCCTAAGAAGGGCAAAACATTTTGTCTCTCCTTTAGGGAGTTTAATGTGTCTGTGTAGCTTTGGATAGGTTTTGAAAGGAGCTGAAGGGTTACTTTTTCTCTCGATTTAGCTGCTGGCCAGGAGGATTTCTCTTAACCCAAGAGAATCTCTTTAAGTTATGCTAGAACATTTTTTCTGTTGTTTAGCATAAAAAAGCACAAAGTGAGAATTTCCAGTGAGCTGTTTACACAGCCAGAAGTACAGCTCGAAAAAACCTAACTGGAAACACTGGAGAGCTCAAGATTCAGATGTGAATATGCAACATGAGATGTGGATGCAGGTCCAGCAGTAGTGTAGCAGCATGTTGGCAGTGGA